CTCTCTCTCTCTCTCTCTCTCTCTCTCTCTCTCTCTCTCTCTCACACACACACACACACACACACACACACACACACACACACATCCCGAGGTAGAAAGATGCTGAACAGTCACACAAGTCTATACACAATCGCCCTCCTTAAATAAAGGCTGGATCCAAACCTAAAGATTTTCCACAATAAGGAGCCCCACCCTGTTCCCTCAAAGCTCCCAAGTCACAGCATCTACCCTGCCCTGCCAGGTGCACCAGTGGACCCTGTCCTCACCCGGGGCAGGCTGCTAAGATGCTCCCAGAAGCTGAGGACAGCAGAGGCGGCAGGAGCAGGTGGTGGTGCCTCTCACCCAGTCTTCCTAAAAGGGAGTTTCATGCCTCCAACTCCCGCTAGGGGCAGAGCTGCTTGGCCTGGCTCCGAGGAGCTGGCTTGCAACAGGTGCCGATGGCAGGGAGAGCATTTGCCTGGAGACCAGTCAGAGTTGCTCCTTACGCAGGTCAGTCAGGTGGCGCCCAGAGGGGGAAGAGACTAGCTGCAGTTTGCATAGCCAGAGTCTGGCCAAGTGCAGAATTAGAACAGAGCCTGCACCATCAGCATGAAGGCAGAGTGCTCTGAAGGTCTTGGGGCATCTGGATTTAATATCCTTAAACCCAGGAAGAGGACACAGGAAGTGAGAGATGAATTCTGTGTGGCCTCAGCCTCCTGGCCTTGCAGAAAAGCCCCCTTCAAGGATATATCCTTTACAGAATGTGATATGTGTGCTGTTATGATTACAACAGTAACATACTGTGCAGTCTTGCAATGCTGTTTGGTTTGCAAAGCCCCCTCTGTGACCAACTACATAATTTGAAGGACCTAAAATTAAAATGTGGGTCCCCTTTTAAAAAATTATCAAGAATTTCAAGAGATAAAAGCAGGATATTAAACCAGTACATGTCCCTTTTGAGCAGATAGTCCAGAGCCTTTCACAGGTCTCATATCCATGAAGGCAGCGCTGGCCCTCTCGTACCCATTGTCCCACTTAAAACTCATGATAAGTCTATAGATGCCTTCATGTGCCCATTTGACAGATGAGGCCCAAAGGTGGGTGATCACACAAGGCTCACAGCCAGCTAAGCCCAGGGGAACTCAAGCCAGGCTCATCTGGGAAGTCAGACACTTCCCAGCAGCAGCGGATACTTGGGACAGAATACCCAAGCAGAACAGTCGATGTGGCTGCCACCAGGGAAGGAGGTGACTCAAGAAGAGAGAGGAAAAGGTTGCTGGGCACCTGTGCCATCTGTGCCCGATGTCACACTGCACCTGCCCTCCAAAGCCCCCCAAGGGAACACCCCACAGCCCCTGTGTGGGTAGATGCTAGAGGCAACTGCTGACTCTAGGGAGGGAGGTTGAGCAAGGAGGTACATGAGCGAACCCAGGAAATAGTTGAGAAGGGCTTGGGAGTCAAAATGGCCAGGAGTATTTCAGTGTCAGGACAAAGCCCTTCTTTCTAGTGATGGTGACCAGTAAGAAGTGAAGGGGAGGCCTGATAACAGAGTCAATCCTAATCAAGTCCAACTCCTTGCCCCTTAGCTCTTCTCTCCACATAGTTGGGACCATTTGGTAGTCATTTGTATACCATTCTTGTCCCCAAAACAATTGGTCCTACAAAGGTGCCATCAACTGTCCATTTACTGCTGAGAAATGTATCCCCCACCCCCCAGAAGTCTGGGACTAAGAATCAGACAGGTCTGATCTCACTTCAATCCCATCTCTCTGTGTTTGGCTCGAGTCGTCCATCCCTCTCTTGGCAGACCTCAACTATTGGATCCTAGGTATTTACGTCACCTCCAAACTTCATGTCACCTGATGGCTTATTCTTCCTTCCTTCTAGCCAGCTGTCTTTTATTTACTAAGCAAGGCAACCATTGTGTGTGTGTCTTGGATTTTGTGTTGTATACTGGAGAGTCTTTGATAAAAAGAACCAGTCCTCTGCAGGAGTTTCCAGTGTGAAGAACTGGATGAGAAAACAGATCAAAGTGAAAACATACCACAAAGAGAGAGCTCTGCTGTATCAGTCAGGATGCCTGCAGCCCCACGTAACAAATAGCAAAGCAAAAGTGGCGTCAACCAAAGGATTTATGATCTCAGACAGCAAGAAGCCTGGAGGTAGGCGGTTCCAAGGTTGGGTGATTCTGCAGCTCAGTGATGTCAGGATCTGGGGTGGCCTTTCCATGCGCCCTGGACCTCCCTCTCCTGACTGCAAGATGACTACCAAAGCAGTGTTTGTGACTTCCCCAAATGACAATTCCCCAAAAGAAAACAAAGAAAGGGGCGTTTCTTCCCACAAGTTTCTTTTTTCCCTGGTTAAGGAAACCTTTGCCAGATCCTCCTTCTGGCAAGGCCCATTGGCCAGACATGAACCCTATGAGTACCCCTAAGCCAATACCTGGCCAAGAGGAATGGGTTTGGCTAATTATAATTCATTCTCTGGGGATAGGCCAGTATTCTTAAAGCACATCACCTCTTGATCAAAATTGTTTATATGTTAGGTAAGGAACAAGCAGGGTGATGGCTGCTGGGATGTCAACTAGCTGCGATATGTGTATATATATATATACGATATATATATATATATATATATCATATATATATATACGTATATATATCGTATATGTATATATATATATCTCGTATATATATATATATACGTATATATATCGTATATGTGTATATATATATATATCCAATATCATATATATGTGTGTATATATATATATATATATATATATGGCATTGGAACCTAAATGACTCCAAACATCGCTGTGGAGAAATTCAGGGAAGGCTTCATGGAGGAGGTGAAATGTAAGCTGACTTTTGAAGGAGAAGTAGGCATCATCTGGTCACCAGGTGCAGGAACCATTTTAGACAAGTGTAGGGGATGGGCATCCTTTGCAAAGGCAAGGAAGTGTGAAACATACAGGATGTTGCAGAAACTGCCAGTGACTTGGCATTAGCTGGTGCAAGGTCAGAGGTGGTTGGAGAACAGGCTGAACCATGACCGGCCACTGAATCCCCATTCAGGTCATTGGCACCAGTGGACAAGACAGGGCTGTGGACCACGCCTGAGCTACTACCATGATGATCTCCCTTCATGCTGGTCACCTAATCACCATCAGCCTTGGAAACAGTCATTCAACAAGTTATGAGTCATCCTTAATCCCACACTTCTAAGTCATGTTGACAAAGGTAGCCTGACCAGTCACAGGCATGAAGGTGGCAAGCCCAGGCAGGGGTGAGGGCCGGGGGTGGGGCTCATACTTCTCTCACCTTGAGCAAGTCGAAATCTCTCTGAGTCTCAACATTGTTATCTGCAAATCAGAGAAAATGCCTCCGTAATGGGGGTACTTGTAAGAACCAAATAAAATGTCTGTGAGTGTGTAAGCAAAACAACATTTGCCATAGAATATGCACATAACATGTTTTAGTAAATATTACAGGAAGTGGATTTTCCCAAAGCTTTGCTAAAATCCAGAAATGCCACATGTGCAATGTTCTCCTGAGCGGCCAAGCTTGTGGTACCTTCTCTTCCTCCAAATGCCACTTCCCCAGAGCCTGCCCTGTCATTCTGGCTAAAGCACCCACCTCAACATCCAGTTTTCAGTCTTCATGAAACACACTGGCCTGTCATCTCTTTGTGTATTTCTTGGTTTATGGTCGGTCTTCTTCTCCCCAAGCCTCACAGTCTCCATTGCTAGAATTTAAGCCCTAATATGGGCCAGGAAATTACTATCACATTCAGAACTATATCCTTAGTGCCAAGTTTAATTCTTGGCATGTAGGCATGCTTACTAAGTATTTATTAAATAAATAATTGTGTTTTCTAAAATGGGATGTGTCTGGCATGACATGTTTTTAATAAACCCAAGAAGTTTTCCCACGGTCATCATGTTTCTTCCCAAGAATTCAAGAGGCTGCTTCCCCTTGCTCTGGTCACACACTGATCCCAGTATCACAGAATGATCCCTATATCCAGTCCATTGCATTCTGTTGACTACCAGGGAGATCCAGAGGGTGAGCGTGGATGGCTCACTGCACCGCATGCCCCTGCCAGGGACTGTGGTGGGATGAGGAAGCAGGTGCTCCATCGACACCCAGGGGCACCTGCGTCTCAGTAATCTCCTCCTTTACACATGCGGCTCTTGGCTGCTGCTCCACCAGACTGTTGGCCCACAAGGGTGACACAGGCTCGACTGTCCCACCTGTGAAGGTTGCCTTTTGCTCCTCTGGACACCACATCATCTGAAAAAGCATCATTCAGAGACAGAGAGAACCTTTGGCAACATCTCCAAAGGGGAGAAGCAGTTTCTTCTTTCTTTGATTTGCTTTTTTTTCCCCCCCATAGTGCTGTGAAGTATTTGATGCCCCCTCCCTGCAAGCAGAGCTGAGGCTGGCTTCAGCACTTTGCTGGGCTGTGTATTTACTTGTTTTCTCCTGTGAGTGCTGCAGCGACTTAAATGTGCCTCTGCAAAGATGCCAATGACACAGATGGTAATTGTACCCCCTGCTGAGCTGTGCCTGCGGACATGAGGGTGTGGGGGGTGGGAGGGCAGCAGGGAGAAGTGGAATGGAGCAGGGAATCTGTACCTGACTGGGAAGGGAGGAGCCTCCCTGAGCACTGCTCTTGTCTATGAGCAATTGGGCTTTCTAGGCATGGGCCATAGGTGCCCAGAAAGCTTCAGTAATTCAGAGGTGACAAAGAGAGCACAGTGAGGAAGCCTGAGTTCCTTTTCTCGCTAGAGCTGAATAGGCTGCATTGTCTTATGCAAACCTTACCTCTCTGAGTCCTGTTATGCCCCTGTGTAAAATGGGCAGGTTTTCTAGTTGCTATTGAAGAGCCTTTGTTTAAGGAAGGCAGGGGAATAAGACGACAGTGATTTGGGGCCAGTTGTGCTTTTCTAGTTTGGGTAAATGACATCATTTTCCCAGGTGTAGTTTTTTAATCTGCAAAATGGGGAAAGTATTTTATTTCTAGTGCAGAGTTTCTTGCATAGGGTTTATATTCAAGAAATGACAGCTACGAGGATTCTTCCAGCTCTAGCCAGTTCTGGTGTGGGGTCTGATATAGTAGGTGCTGGAATAGGGTTGTTAGATTTGGGTTTATAATGTCCTGACCCCATATCACCCCCTCTGCTGGCACAGGGGCAGCATCTGGGCAAGTCTGAGGGACAGAAAGCATCGAAGGACCACGGACTGCAGAAGTCGGTGGGGTTAGATGCAGAGACTGTGGGATCAGCCCTCCACTGGAAGGTGCAAGGGTACTGGGGCAGCAAGAAAGGCCTGGTGAAAGAGGATGGCAGCAGTGCTCACCGCTTTGCTCCTCCTGCCTACCTGGT